AAAGATCATCAACACGATGCATTTATAATTGACAAATATTAACATATGATTACTATGATACTATATAAATTATATCATCCAATGCTTAATATCTTGACATCATGGCCCACTCAAAACTACATTTTTATTTTGTATTTTATTACGCCGAGACAAAAATGAAGTTTTTTTTTGTGATTGATGATGATACATCAAACAACAAAGAAGAAGAACAATTCGGAAGTTTTGACAACGAAAATAAAACGAAAAGTATCGATGCCCAATCGAAGTTTTATTTCCCCAACTTCGTCTCGTCGTTCAACTACCATTTTTCACATTCTATTTCATAACATCAATAACCGTATTATTAACCATTAGTTGACACCTTTTATTCGTTCGTTGCCGTACATTAAAAAAATTGCAGTTTCCCAACCAATTTGCGTTGATTCGCCGAATTATATTGCTCTAACATCGCTGTTAGAGAACAGAACCTAATAAAAAATCCTTTCTTAATGAGAATAAAATACCTCTAAACCATCTCTTTCCTGCACTATGACGCTATATTATAATGATAATTTGGTAAACGTCATTTACAATTTAGAGATGAAGGCAACATTCTCTTAAATTCATACATTTACTAAATAAGTAGTACTTATAACATAAGGTCATTTTCAGATAAATAACTAAATACTCAATTAAACACCAAGCGAAACTAAAGATAGTTTTTATATGTCACTAAAGCATTTCCGTACATCTTCATAGTGTCTGTAATAAATTCAATAGAGATAAGTTTTAAACACATAATATAAAAAAATTAATGTATCTAGCCGGACCCATGGATTCTAACATTTGTCGAAATTAGGTAAAAAGTAAAGTCATTCTCTGAGATTAGTTTAGGGAAATTTAGCAGGTTTTGTACGATATTTATAACAAAGAATATGGATTTATCTCTGTCGTCACGTTTCCATGTGACCACCAACTGACCTAACTAATTACATGGTGACAGAAATAGCGCTGGTCTAAATATCTACTACATTAATTCCACATCACATTCATTTAGCAGCTTCAAGTGTTAACGTCAAGTGTTGATATAGTGGTAATTATTATTGTTTAATAATTAATTTGATATTCCTTTATTGCAGATATGTAAAAGATTCAAAATCAATATCAGTCTATCGCAACGTAAGTAAATAATATATATAGATAGGTGAGTATTTGTGAGTACAGATCTGAAAAAAAGTTATCAACAAAAATAAACTTGTGAATAATAAGTATTGAAATTGTTTAAAACCAAATGTAACCGATCACATGTTCAACGGCATGACAAAAATGTTTTACATAAACAAATATGGTAAGGGCGTTATTTGATATTTTTCCACTTCCAAAAATAGCTAACCGCTTTTGTGTTCGAACATGATTTATGTGTCAATAAAAAAGAACATTTATTAAAATTAATAAAAATTGTGTGAAATATTCGAATGTTACTTCTGGATGCATCAAAGTTCTAACGTTAAAAACAAGGGCGTTGGAAGGGAGATACTGTGGGGAGACTCCTCCCTCAAGAAAACTTTCTTCCTCGTTTATTGTTATGTCAGCAGCTAAACACAATACAATAAATAATAACATTGATTGGGGCTGTTATCTAGATAAAACTGAAGTTAAATATGACCTCAAATTGAAATTATTGACCGACTGTTTCGGACGAGTTTTCAAATTGGAATGGTTTAATAAATACTCGTGGCTAACATATTCTCCTTATTTAAAACCAGCATTGTGTAATTTCCAAGCCTTCATTGAAAAGGGAAAATATGGGCGCTTTCGTTGTATCACGGTTCAGAAGACTTCAAAATATACATGAGTACGTCAAAAAATATGTTACATGGGAGTAGCAATCTGGGTTGCAACAACCAATCGACTCTTTCATCACGAGACTGGTAGAGAAGAATATAAAGAAACTCTTTCCTATCATTTCAACAGTAATATTTTGTGGAACTAAGAATCGTGAACTTCGTTGGAATGAATCTCAACCAGGTAATTTTGTGGACTCGTCAAAATTTAGTTATCTAATTGATGTCTGTGGCCAGATTCTAAGGAACTAAATCATTAATGATGTAAGGAAGTATCACGGTGTTTTATTTTCGCAGAATGTCGAAAATATATACGATCAGAAAAGAATTCTTAGAATTTTAACTATTGAAACGTCACGATTCTAAACACACTAAATAATTTTCGTATGGATTTCAACAAAGTCATCGGTCTTGGGTTCGATGGAAACGCAGCAAAGGTTGGAAGAGAATCGGGTATACAACAAAAAAAAGATTCGAACTCTTTACGAAAGCTTTACCAAAATAAACAAGCTTTCCCTTGACGATTTGCTACAACGATTGCTACAAATCCAGAGTGTAATGCAGCCATAGAAACAAAAGCTCATCAACTATATTTGACCGCGTCGTAATCAACCTATATTGTTGCCATGGTCATAATAGCCAAAGTACAGTTTGAAGTAGAATTAAATCCAGTTACGAATTCCAACTCTCCAAAGAAATACTTTCGTAAGATTTTTATGTATCAAATTTAGATTTTTTATATATCCTCAATAACAAATCGACTCGAAAAAAACAATACGACGTAAGTTGGCGCTTTTAGCTCGTTACACCCGATATTTTTAACATCAGCAAATTATACATTCGCCCATCGAGAAAGTCCGTGGATCCTTTGTGAAGATCCAGAAGGTGCTCTATAATCGCGGTCTGAGCCTGGACAGAAGAACTCGGATGTTCAAATGTTACGTTATCATGGTCCTTTTGTATGGTGTAGAGAGTTGGACCTCAATGTGTATTACGAGCGAAAATTGGAAGCCTTCGAGATGTGGGCCTACCCTAGGATGCATGGAGGTTCTGAGGAGAATGAAGAAGACACGGAGACACGGAGATCCTGCAAGAAGTGAAAAAATGGAAACTGCTATATCTCGGCCACATTATGAGAGGTCCGAAGTACGAGTTTCTGCGCCTCAAAATCCAGCGAAAAATTGTGGGAAAAAGATCGATTAGAAGAAAAAGAATATCCTTAGGAAGCTTAGGTTTAGGAACGTTCAAAGTTAAAATAGCAATGATGATAGACAACCTCCGAAATAGAGACGGTACATGAAGGAGAAGAAATTAAACATATTTTATGACTAACACTACATTCTGCCAAACAATTTCAATTTATACAAAACCTTCGCGAAGAAGCTGAAGTATAGGTTAATTCGTATAGATTTGGTAGTTCATGACGTTTTGAAACATACTGATTTTTTCCCAGAAGTAGATAAGGCAATCATTATTTTTATGACTTTTACAGCAACGATTTGTTCCGTTAAAAGAAATTTTAGCACATTGAGGATAGCACATAAATGGACGGTACATACTAAATGTCGAAGAAAGTTAAAGTTAAGGATCAATTTTTTTTTCGGGTTCCGACTCTGGCGATAGTAAATAATAACATAGGCTCTTATAATATATGAAAGATGTCGTTGTCGTGTTTCTATTCTACAACAAATTAACGGAACTTTTTCAAAATTGTTTTAACATCAAACCTTACAAAGTATTCAAACTATCCGGAACTGGATGGTTATCTCCTCAACATGTAGTGTACCGAACTTTAGAACAGCATGACGCACTTACTCTATATTTAACCAACTATTTATTCGAAGACAGTCACCTAACATAGTTACTATATTAATAACATTAACACAAAATTTTAATTAAAAATGATGAGACAATATACTGTAACACTTTATTTATAAAGTTATTTTTGTAGCAACCGTCAAACTGATCTGTTCAGAATACAGGATAAAATATTATCAATCCATAATCTAAGGAACTCATCCTAGATGTGGTTTTTACTTGCTCTTATCATACTTCATATTTTTGATATGAACTATAAAGCGAGTAAAAATAAAAGGGTTAACAATGGTTTAACAAAATTTTCAACGAAAGTTCAAAATTGACGTCTCTTCAAAAAAACTTTTATGGCACGGCACCATTTGTATAAAATAGCGATTATAAGCTTTTTGAAACTGCCATTAGGCGGATTACTTTACAAATCACTTGAAGTGGCGAAATTTTAGTGATTATATGCTCGGAGAAGCGTTCTAATTCTTAAAATTAATAGAAAAGAATGGTGACGATAATAACAAAAATTGCGCGCGTTTTCCCGACGCGATGGTTATTTCACGGACGAAAGCCCGGAGTAATTAAAAAGATAATTGAAAGTTGCCAAAACGGTATCGACGATGCCCTGGGACAAAAATAAACATCATAAAAGAGGCTCCACTTCAAAGCTCCGGCTTCGGTCGTTTAATGTGTTTTTTCAATCTACAATAAAGTAGACCTTTACGGGTCCGCCTTTACAGTTTTCATGGGTATCCTATACATAAACGTGACTGATACTATTTATAGCTTCGTGCTCACAACAGGACAATACTTGTAAAGACAAAACCATTAAACACTATTATTGTGAAATCTCCAATAGAAATTTAATATTCCCAAACCCCAGTTTAAGCCTATATATAACCATAGTTATATGTTTCTCGTTAATCATAATCATCACCTAATACTTGACATGTTATAAAGTTGTTTGAACATAATTTGATTTAGATGCTAAATAACAGTCGATTTATCAATGTTAACAGCTAGTTTATGGTAACGTATACGTCAACAGGTTGATTATATTCCTAACCTCGAAGGGTTTAATCCTATTTAGAGTAGTATTAAAACACGCTTCGGTTAACTTATTTGAAATTAAATTGAATGAGGGCGTAAATTATTTAAGACATTAGTGTGGTAACGACACCTTCGGTCATCTTTTAATGGCAAACCCATCGTGAACAGCTCATCATCCTAACCCTGTTATAATACTTTAGGCAAACATTGTGAAGTGACCTAGTTAACACGCTCGATATGCAAATTGACAAAGAATCGAGCTGACGCCGGTTGAAAGCACGCGATTTGAAGAAAATGAAAAATTACTTAGTGTTTTATTACCTTGAATCCTTTGTACCATTCTTTTATCGTGCTTTCATCATATCTTGTATGGCTCTTTAAAAAATCCATGTCTTCTTTGGAAAGCTTGTCTTTGCTGCCGAAGCACCCCATTTCGCCTCGTGCAGCCAATCACCTGAAGAAAAAGAAAATACATTTTAAAACTTTTTATATTATAACGATAGAGTTCGTTCTATTTTCAAAGTACACCCTACTAACATCTTATCCTATTTACGGGATGCAGGTTACGAGGAGAAGATTGAAAGCCCAAGGCGAGACTTCACTGCACACCATAACACATAACGTGAGCAGTATGTCTTATTTACGTAAACCATTACACGTCGCCCTCATCCTCACCCTCATTTTATCGAGCGAAACCGCAAGGATTACGGACCGAAGATTTACGGTCTCATTACTGAAAATTTTAGGTCGCAGTCTTGTTCCCGCGGGTTCTTCTAAAATCCCAACGACCCGTAATAATAAATCACACGCCCTTGCTTAAAGAACTAAATCCTCGGGGATATTCGTTAAAATTGGGGCTGAGGTCAACTCTAGATGTAATTTGAAAATTGTTTTGTTACGCAATAACGTTTTTCACACAATTAAAAGATTAAATAAAAAACTTGAAATTCCACGCACATGCGTTACCATAGCGACCCAAAACAATCGATAAAAACTGACGGGAGCTGTTGATGACGTGCTTGATATGAACGGGTTTTTGGGGAGGTGGGTGAGTACTTGATGTTATCGGTTTCGTTTTCAGGTGTATTTAAACGAGTTGATCGTGTGCACACGAATCCCGAAAAAGGTAAAAAACGAACGAAAAATGTGCTAATTCATCTTTTATTATTATCACGATGGTTAAGGACTTAATGATTGGGTATAAGTTATAACAACTCGGCACGACTTCAAAATAGCAGATCTTTTTGTGTTTTGAGCCACTGAATCATTTCCTCCCGTTATGCTTTCAGTGTTTCCTCTCAAGATTGCGTAAACTATTGGAGAATTATCGGTCGATTTCGACTAACTTTAGACAATGTTTCTCACAATGGGAGTTCTAAAAATAATTGTTGTATACGGGAAGCTTTGGTTTTCTCTGGAAACTGTTCAAAATCAAAATTGAATTTTATGTTTGTTAAAAATAAAATAATAAACTAGATTTTTTTATATTTTTCATTGAATTAAAACTACGACTAACATTAGACCTAGAACTAGCAACATTCGGGTTTAGCCGTCTTAAGAGATGTACGGTTAAACCAGAATGTTTCTAGTTCTCGTTTAGTTAGATTATTGTATACATTTCAATGAGCTAAAACTAGAACTAACATTAGACCTAGAACTAGAAACATTCGGGTTTACCGGTGCGGTTAAACACGAAAGTTTCTAGTTCTAGGTCTAGTGTTAGTTCTAGTTTTAATTGTTATTCAGCGCTAAATTGTTGTATATTTTTATTGAATTAAAAGTAGAACTAATGCCTCTAAGAGACGCACGGCTAAACCCGAAAGTTTCTAGTTCTAGGTATAGTGTTAGTGTTAGCTCTAGTTTTAGTTATTATTCATAGTTAGATTGTTGTTTATTTTTCATTGAACTAAGACTAGAACCAACACTAGACCTAGAAACATTCGGGTTTAGCCGTCTTAAGAGACGTACGGCTAAACCCGAATGTTTCTAGTTCTAGGTCTAGTGTTAGTTCTAGTGCTAATGTTAGTTCTAGTTTTAGGTATTGTTCAGCGTTAGATTGTTGTATATTTTTCATTGAACTAACATAAGACCTAAAACTAGAAACATTCAGGTTTAGTGGTTCGTCTCTTAACATGACTAAATCCGAATGTTTCTAGTTCTAGGTATAGTGTTAGTCCTAGTGCTAGTGTTAGCACTAGTTGTAGTTGTTATTCAGTGTTAGAGTGTTATAAATTTTTCATTGAACTATAAGTAGAACTAATCTTGTTTGCTAAAACATAAAATACCAATCATAAATATATTAATAATACAAAATTACCAACCCTGATTGAAACAAGAAACTCAAACTTTCCATTATTGATTTCTCCCTGAACCGTATTTACGCGAAGTTCTACTTTAGTAGGAAGTAGAAATTAATCGAATTTGTATTTAGCCCCACTAAAAGCTTTTAGATTACTTGTTAAATTGATAAAGAATACGATTTACATCATCACTTAAATTATAAATATAAATAACAAGGACGTATTATCACTTAAACGAAATTAATAATTTTATATTGGGTTTCTGTGCCGAGGTTATATAGCGTATAAAGATCGTTTCGCTGGTTGGTAATCTATTGCCATCACGTTCTATGGGGTCCATTTAAATGACTAACGAATTTGTGGGGGTCAGCATGGTAAGCGGACATAAATAATTCATATCATATTGCAATCGAAGCGTCTAGCTTCGAAACGGGTCATGCGCCACACGAATTTCGACCGTTTTTGCATGCTAAACGTTGTGGAAATATGTATTTATGAAAATCGAGGATTATTGAACCAAAGCAACGGAGTTATATATCTGCTTTACTCAACAAGAAAATAATTATATCAAACTGAGAATTAAATATAACATTAAGTAAATCATCTAGGTAATTTTCCATACTTGACTAATTTATATAGGAATAACAGAAATGGGAAATAACAATTTGAGACGTAAATTAATTTATTATTTAACACATAGGATTTTAACAAAGAAAATAAATACACTAAAATTCCCAATTCACACGGTTATTAATTTAATACGCATTGTTTCAATTCAAGATTAGTTACAGAAAATAAAACTACTTTACTAATTTGTTTTGACGTCATTTTTATGTGACATAAATGTTAAGTACTTATAATGAAGAACGTAATATGTTTAAGTAATAGGTAATAAATTAATTTTGTTGATTACATATAGCTTTAAGATATGCACGACCTGACCTTAATAAAAGAACATGTACAAACATTAAAACAAAAATACCCAATTCTTATCCAAGTTCAATTTTATACGTATGACGTCAATAGACTCTCGATTTGTATGTATAACATGAATTAATTGCGTTATAAACCGAATCAAGCGCTTGGAAATGTGTTAAGCTCCGCTTGGACGTCCAAGTGAATGGGATCGTTATCGAAAGAGAACATTAATCACATAACTCCATTGTCGTGTTAATGGCAATCGACGAAAATACATTGTAATCAATCATCCACAACCCTTTATTTGCTTTCGAGTTTCTCATTTCGGAGGTATAATTGCGCCAATGGAATAGATTTTAATAAGTATAATGAACTTTAACGAATATAGGAAAAGGTAGTTCATCAAATTTAATTAACTAGAAAGTTTTGTCGATAAGAAATAAAATAAAATCTTTTAATCTTCTCGATTCATTGCCTATCTTTCGATCCAACTAACCAAACTTCTCAAAAGAACTACTCACAGGTTCGCCCTTTTGATCATTCTTTCCAGGCGGAGTTGCCCCCCTTTTCAGGGCAACTCAAACAGGATCTTTTGTTGGCGTAACGAGAAAAGTTCTGGAGCCTTTATTTCCCGGAGCAAATTATAACAATCCGAGTAAGTTCTGCAATTTTTATCATCGTTGAAGTAGCAACAGCAGCTTTGGAACTTTTTATGCCAATTTTAAACCTGTTTTTTCCCTATATTTAAGCAAAATTAGTATTAATTTCATCATTTTTCTCAATGTTAAAGAGAAATTTAAATTTAGTAAAATCTCTATATAACGAACTTCGTTAGAACGGACAAAATATTTTTAGTACTCATAGAATCCAACTCAGGTTCCCCAAGTTGCTCAATATCCATGTTTATAGATAAACTCGGGGTACCCAACCCAATCAAACCAAACCCAACCTAGAGATGGAAAATTCTCTAGAAAAAAATAGAATATTCTCGATTTTGAGAATTTTCTGAGAACAAGCTTTTAAATACAAATACAGCGCGGCAAATTCAGTCTGACAGCTGTAAGGTGGTTCATACTTATGGGATTAATTACTACGGAGGACTTATTTATGATATTTAGAATATATTTGGCGTACAAAAATAATTTATTCTTTGAAACAAATAACAACAAAAAACAAGTATTTTCAGACAGCGCTGGAAAAGTTTCCAAACCACTGCATTCAATCACTTCAAATATCAGAAAGGTTCGTTGTAGGTTCTTCATTAACCTCCACATTGGTGGCAGAGCTTGTAGATGTTTCCAGGTGCTTTTCGCTGGTCTCACATGAATCTAATAATTATAAATTATGAACAATGAAATTTATTTTACCAGCTCGTTCAATAAAGCTGTAGGTGATGAAGCTTCTTTCTGTTGCTGCATTCGATGCAGGCGTACTTAGTTTCTTGACCGCTACTTTACTTAAGGTCGATCCAAAACAAGAAGTAGTTTTTCCACGTATTTTAAAACATATGGTTTTCCAAATAACCCTTCTTTAGATCGATAAAGGGCTAACTCTGCCATTACCTCTGCAGACTCATCTAGGCTTGTTACAGTAGCCATATTATCTATAAACTCTGTTCCTTATATTTGTTCTTCTCTATTAAGATTAATTCCATTAAAATTTCGAGTATATTTCTAGTATATTTGCAGCAAGATAGATTGGATTTATTGCCATTTGCTTTCTCTTAACTAAAAAGTTTGTTACTTCCCTTTCCTCTTGGTTAAGCAAAGGGCTGTTTCAAAATTACTTTCCAACTAATAAAAGCATTCAGCTACTTAACATAACCTTCGTTTATCTCCTTCCAGTTGGGGTATGTATTTAACAATAGGGTTTATCAGGTGATAAAATTTTGAAACTTTTACCTATAAGATATCCGCGTCCAATATCAACTTTGCAACTCGTTTACTGATTATATCTTCAACTGTTTCACAAACTGCTAATAGTAGACATGGCTTTCATTTTTGAAGTGTCTCCAATTAAGGTGTCAATTAGGGTTTTGTGTAGTAATAATGAAATAAAGTATGGATTTGTTCGTTTGGTTGCTCCAACCATTACACTGTAAATTAAGAGCATTCGCTTCTCCAATTTTCATTTTAATCTTTGCATCAACTTTTTCATGCTCGGAGTCCAGTAATTTATTTATTGATAAATAACGTGTAGGCATTTCGAAAGATGGTCTGAAACGTTTGAAAAATGA